GGAGTTTGGATGTGTCTATGGGGCTTCCACGACCTTTCCTTGTACAAGTTGTGCTAGTTTCCCCTGTATTGTGTACTGTCTCACCCTTCACCCAAGATACGACTTATCTATTGCCTATTTAGTATTTCCCCCCCACCCCTCGCATCCCTGGTAACCAACAAAGATTGTTACATTTTGTGTGTGAAAGTAATGAGTATATTAATGTTTATTAATTCATTCAACAAAGATTTATTGAATGCCTACTATATGCCAGGTACTGTTCTCGGTGCTTTGGCTACAACTGTGAATAAAACAACAGTGAACAATTTCTGCCCTTGTGAAGCTTATGTTTTAGTATATTTAGTAAGGAGAGACAGACAATAAATAAACATAAATAAATCAATCCACTATATAGTCTCTTAGAATTTGGTAAGTACGATGGACAAGAAAATGGAGCAGGGAAAGGAGCCTGGACAAACAGGTGTAGTGTGGAACCACAAGTGGGAGTATTGCCAATTTTAAGCAGCATAATCAGGGTTGACCTCATTGAAAAGGTGACATCTGAGCAAAGACCTTAAGGAAGTAAAGAAGCGAGTCACAGAGACTTAAAAAAATATGGAATGTTTCACAAATCTGCATGTCATTCAGTCAGTAACAGAAATTATAGCAGAACATAAACTACATTGTTTTAAAAACAGTGGAATTATATAATTATTTGTACTAATTAGTAGGACATCCTATTTTGATCAAGATGGGGTTCCACTGAGCAAAGGCTTCAAGCAAAACTTTTCTGACATACATTTTCATAAAATATCAACTAATTCCTCACTAGAAAAATGAACAAAGGATTTGGAAAAATAATTCATGCAACAGAAAGTGGCAACTAAATATTCATGTTCCAACTGACTAATGTTCAAATAAATTAAATGTTAAATATAATGAAATATCATTTTCATTTATCAAATTGACAAATAATAAATTAACAATGAGTTTAAGAAAGGATGCAGCAAGACAAACGTTGAAATAATAAATTTGCACCTTTCTGTAATTTAACAATATTTATCAAGACTCTAGAAAGAGCCACATCTTTATTAATTCCTGTTCTAGGAATTTAACATAAGGGAAAAATTAAAGCACACAGATGCTGCTATAAAGATGATCACTAAAGTGTCTTTTTTAACAAGCAAAAATAGAAAACTTAAGTGTGCAATATACGGCATAAGTAACTAAATTATTGCATTTGTACAGGTGTACAGCTGATAAAGATAAATCACATACTGGAAGATTATTTAGTATCATGGAAAAGTGTTCAGGGCATAAAACTCTATACCAACAATGACATCGATTTTGTGGAAAATACACACACAAATATACATATATATATATATATATGTTTATTGTTGTAGTTTAAATGAAGTTTACATTTCAAGTTAGTCTCTCATACAAAAATTTATACATACATTGTCATGTGACCCTAATTGCTCTCCCCACACTGTGACAGCACACTCTTTCTTTCCACCCAATTTCCCATGTCCATTCAACCAGCTCCTAACCCTCTCTGCCTTCCCATCTCATCTCCGGAAAGAAGCTGCCCGAGGTCTCCTGTATCTACTTGCTGTCTCTTGTATCTACTTGAGCTAAGAGGCACACTCCTTACACGTAACACTTTATGTCCCACAGTCCAGTCCAATCCCTTCTGAAGAGCTGGCCTTGGAAATTGTTTTAGTTCTGGGCTGACACAGAATCTGAGGGCCATGCTTTTCATACCATTAAGTCTGGTCTTCTTACCAGAATTTGAGTTCTGCACCACATTTTTCTCCTGCTCCATCAGGGACTCTCTGTTGTGTTCCCTGTCAGGCTGGTCACTGGTGGTAGGCAGACACCATCTACTTCTTCTGGTCTCAGGCTGATGAAGTCTCTGGTTTATGTGGCCCTTTCTGTCTCTTGGGCTAATACTTTCCTTGTGTCTTTGGTGTTCTTCATTCTCCT